TATAACTCAGCAAATACTATAAGCGACAGGAAGGATCACGTGATGACATCCTGACGTCAAAAGTTCTTTTTACATACCTCCAAGAACGGAGAAACAGTGACGATCATCGTGAATTCTTCAAAATCAAATAACGGAATTCGCAATAAAAAATGTTAAAATGAGAGCTATTGACTGTCAAGTGATCCTTTCTGATTGATTTAGCATATTCCTTTTGTCATTTGGCTCGTTTGCGTGTTTTCGTTCTGAGTCCCATTGTTTCTTATGGAAGAATTCCCTTACTTTGAACGCTGATATCTCGAGAACCGTTTATCGGACTATTTTCAGCATAAGACCATCGGAAATAAAATTTTTGGAACTTTAATATAGCCTGATAAAAAATCAGAAAAAATCACGCACAGCAAAATGTGACACTTTTTCAACTTTGAAGATTTACCGAAAAACACCCTGTATTCGAAAAATTTCCAAAGTAGCGCCATACAAAACTTGCACATTTTTTCTATCGAATGACTTATATCATATCTCTCTAGTATTAATAGTTGCTGAGTTATAAACGCGCCAATGTAGGGATAGTTCATCCGAACACCTAGTATAGATGTATAGATAATAAGGTTAAGCGGTTTTAATTTGACCCACATTTAAAGTTAATTGAGCTGAGATAGTAAAAACTTTTTAAGAAACCTAGTATGATAAAAATAGTGCCAATCTTTGTTAAAGGTGACTTAAATGTAAATCAAATCGATAGAAAGTGACTTTAGAAGAAAACAGATAAATCTTTTCCATTAAGTGAATTGCCTTTAATTATCTAATGTTTGTGGATTGATGACCGAAAGAAAATTGTGTCGAAGTATCTAAATACAAGATAAGAAACCGTTGAAATTGTTAATGATCATTTCTATATTCACTGTGTTGGAAATCTTGAATCAACATTTTTCTTTCTTCAAGGAATCAACCTTTTCAGTAATCAGACAATTATGTGATTAACAGTTGTTTTCATGTAAATCATTACAATGGAAATCTATTTATATTTCAATTTTACAATTAATAAGTTGTAGTTGAAGTTGAACAGAAAAGTTCAATTGTTGATCAATTGCAATAAGGATTTCCGCTTGAAATTTGTAAAATATAAATTCTTAGATGATAATAGATTAACATGAAAAATATGTTCTTCATCAATTTGCTTACCTAATGAAATATGAAAACAATTTAAGCAACAATTGATACAAAAACTAAAAGAAACTACCGAATAGCCAAAATGGCCAAAATGACCAAAAATGGTCCAAATTTTGATAATAATAAAAAGTGTCGAAAGCAAATCACTGGACTAGAGGAACTATTTGCATGGTACTAATATCGTTCCTTTCGATCCATGCCAGAGACAAATATCGAGAAACACTACTTCGGACCGGATCTTTTAACAAATGTTACGCCTAAATCAATGTTTTTGGCATTTTTTTGAAATATGCTTTTTCAATTAAAATAAATTTCCCTTCCATTCGTACTACAAAAGGTGATGTACCATGTACAATCGAATACGCTTCAGAGAATGAATAATGAAATAAAACAGAATTTGACTAATCTTTCTTTTGAACCGTACTAACTGCTTAAAGTTAAGCGATTCAAAAGTATCGATATTATCGGAGTAAGTATCAATTTATATTGTTTCAAAAAGTATCAATATACTGTATATCGCCCTAAGATAATATTGCAGAAACACTAGATAAACTTGTAAAGTTCACAGTGGATGCTACTCAAAGGTGACTTCAAATATTTAAATGACGTTTGGTTACCTGGACCATCATACTGGATTAACGGTTATCGGTTCTGTTCTCATTTGATCATAAACGACATAATCTTGGTCATTTTTATCAAGATTGGTTAAGATTAGCCAAAAGGAGGAAGTTAGATCTCCATAGAAAATTGCCCCCAACTAGAATCGATTGGTTTGTCTTTACGGATGATTTCGTGCACAAGCCCCAATTCCGACCGATTTTGGCCTAGCATGCGGCCAGAGATGGATAAAAATATTTTAAAAGTAGATTTCTATATAGATCAGAATACGCTGAATCTAAATCATTAAGAATTTTCTCTCTGAAACTAACGGTTCAGCCACAAAACGCTCCCAAAGTTTCCGACTTTAAACGACGATATCTCCGTTACTATGCGCGATACAATAAAATGGATTTAAGTTTAGTTATTTATTTTTAATTAGCTTTCTTTTGATCATATTAATAATCGATTCTAGTTGGGGGCGATTTCCGACTTGCTCCTTTAAATCAGGATAGCTAATAAGCTGGTTAATTTGTAAAGCTCTATTTTCTTCTCTACCTTAGATGGCTATAACTTACACAACATGAAACAATACTACATTGGATAATCCTTTTGATGTACAAGGTTTTTTGATTTTAAGCGTGATTGCAGTCATAACTCACACATCTTTTATGCTACAGATCTCAGATTCGAACTATAAGCTTCCGCAGAGCCATAAGACCGAGCGCTTAAGGTCATTCGAGGTGACTTAGTTATTTGACCATTAACTGAAATTAGAGGTATTTTCTGATAGTGCAAAATTTTCCAGATTGGTTTGATGTTTGTTACATGTTTAAAACATTCATACCGTTGGAGAGTAGACGAATTTTCTCAAAACCAATTGATTAACTTAACGGTATTGAAACACTCATATCATTGTCCAGTATGATTCATGGATATCTTGCACTCTCAGAAAATAACCTTCAATTGTCAGTTGAAGGGCAAAGAAATACGTGGTCTTGACGTTTTAACTTATGTTAACTTATGGTTTTTCAATCAGCTGAAGATCATGGAGCAAATCTGAGGTCTTTAGCAAGCACCTTGCATTTTTTGGCATAAGACTAACAAATTATAACAATTCATTCAACTATTTACGAGCAAAATGTGATTAAAAAATTGTAAAAGAATCTATTTCTGTGAAAAGGCTAATTATAAAAAATGTCACAAGACGTGATATCAGCTGAACATTAAAGTTTATTAGTAATCGCTTCGACTCAATTTTTGTCAAAATACTGGTCCGTTTTGTCAACATGAGATGGCGCCAATGTATCCCAATAAGCTAACTAAAGATGTTTTGGTTTTAATCTGACTGAAAGGCAAAACAATTACTGGGTTATTCAAAAGTCCGCAACACTTTTCGCGCTTATAACAGGGCCGTCCTTGCAAATTTTGTCGCCCTATTTTTTCACTACCTTTTGGCATCGGTACAAATTGTTAATTGATGATTGAATCTGCTAATCAAGAATTTACGATAAGCTGATTAATACAAGTTGCAACTAACTCGCTTTGAATAGCATTTCTCGAAGGCAAAGTTTAATCTACCCGCTGGAGGACCTCGTAAAAGAGGAAACTTAAATTTTATTGAGAAATTTGCTTATTCAAGATTACAGGGAGAGTAAATTAACATGGGCTGATATAAATGATCTTTTTGTTGCTGTTTATTGGATGGTCAAGTCAGTGTTTTTACATTTTCATAGGAAAAAAAGGAACAAAAATAAGGAATAATTGAATATGGAGAAAGACAAAAATGAATAAAATGGAATGGAAGAAAAGCAAGGCCGCCAGTTCCAGAATTCAGTGATGAGTCTCTATTACTAGTAAACATTGGTATGACTGGCAACGGCATCATTGTAAATCATGTCTCTTTATCATTGCCAGTGGCCAGTTTGTGCTCCAGAATAAATTTGAATCATGAGTAAGTTGCGCTCTTGTTCATCTCAAAAGGAAGATACAGACAAAATAATCAATCTGGTTCATGTGACAATGTTCAAGTCGATAATTACATTGATGTATTTACTTCAATTGATCACATCTTTTCGAGAGACAAGATGAAGAAAAGTGAAAGATGAATGATACTGATGACGACGGTTTGGCGATGAAAGTTACAGGTTGCAAGAAGGAATAATGGAAAGGATTAAGATTTTCAATGTTCAATCAAAGTATACCTGATAGACTCAGGTCTCATGCACTGAACAAAGATTGAATGAAAAGCGCACAAATAATGAAATTAACTCCAATCAAGCCTGAGTTTGCTCTCATTGTTGATGTTTCACTGTCAATGGTTATAAGTTTATTTAACAGTCGACTTTTTTTCCTGATAAAACTTGGTTGGAAAGAAGACAAAAAGACGGAAAAATTGATGAAAAGATGAGAATAATGTTGAGTGAAAAAAGGCTTAACATGATGCAGACGAAGAGGCAAAAGATGTGATAAAATCTTTTAATCCAAGAGAGAAAAAAATGTAATTGAAATAAACTTTTCAGTCTCCATTCATCTGGTTCATTTGTGTGTGATAATTTCACTCTGGATCCATTACCAATCTTTAATTATCTGTATTACTGAAGTGATGTTTCATGTTTTTCGCAATGAAAAGTTTACTGTAAACAGCAAAATTGAAATCTGAAAAAATAGCAGGAAACGGTGAAATTCAACGCTTGGAGCTGAATCATTTCCAAAGATATTCATTTCACTGTTTGAGTTATTGAGTGATACCAACTCGGGATTGGACAAAGTAACAGTTATTTTATGAAGAGTTGAAAATGCAAAGAAAATTCAATTTGATAGAGAAAACTTTTGCTTCAGGCAAATTTCAACTTTGTCTTTACTTGCATTTAGTGTGTGTGAATGTCGATGAAATAGCAATTGCAATTGCTTCAACTAAGAGACAAACAAACAAACAAACCCAAAAACGGATCCAAAGACAAGATGAACCCAAAGACAGGATAAAATAAATAAGTTGAAACGATTAAAGTCAATGATGGCAAATTAAATTGGAAACATTTATCAGAAGAAAAGAAAGATGAATGATGATGAGTGAAGATGAGGGTGAAGATGGTCAAGATGAGCGCAAAAAGGATAAATCTTGTTTCTCTATATTGTATCAACTGTATCAACTATGGTCATCTCTTGTCTTTACACAAAACATATTTATAAAGGTGACTTTAAGCAAAATGGTTTTGAAGCCAAGTCAATTAAACATCTAAATAAGTATTAGTAATATTAATTGAAATTGCATCAACTGATCAACAATCAATGTTGACTTTTTTTGCTCAATTTGGGCTTTTCTTTTCACTTTTCAATCCTCAACATTTCGTCTTGGATTATTTATCAATTATTGATTCCATTATTAATCAGTTTAAATATTTATGGTTAACTTTGATTTAACTTGGGTTGTTGGTTAAATCCTCGAGTTAATCAATGCTTAACATTTGTTACTTTTTTGTTGCTTCATTACAATGCATTTTCAGGGGAATCTTGGGAAATAATGTTAGAAGAATAAAATTAGAATAAAATGAAAAGAGAAAAATGTGAATCAATTATTGCATGGAATCAGGTAAGTTGGTCAAATTAAACAGGTAATGAGTTATCAATTGTGGGAATGCGTTGCGTTTATTGGATGTTTCGTGCTTCGAGCGCTTCAACTGTTTTCTTTCACATGTAAGTTTCATTGACATCATGTACGGTCAGCGATTGGCGTTTTGATTGGCGCTTTAACATCATTTAAGGTGGCAGATGAAGCAACTTCAGTTGAACTGTTGTTTGAATTGCTATTGTTAACCGAATTGCTATTTTTACTATTGTTACTATTGTTATTACTGTTGGTGTTTTTGGTGTTTATGCTGTTCAGGTTGTTCAGAGGTTTATTAACATCAGAATGGTTGATCCCAGTGGATGGATTAATGCAATTTTTATCATTATCTTCAGTTGAATGTTGATGTGATTTGCCGACTGCAAGTTTCTTCATTTGGTGAACAACGGCTGCAGCATTGTATGCTTGCTATTGATAAATAAATGAGTTAATCAGTTTATTTGCAAATTAAATAACTTTCAATTTTCATTTTCACCCAAAAAAAAGGTTTGCTTTTGTCATCAGCTAATTGAATATTTGAAAGGAACTGAATATCTGAATGGAATTAGCAAATGGACTGTTCGTGTGTTCACATGATTAATAATTCAATTCAAGATGCAACTATTGGTGTCAACCTTTTTTCTGGGTAAATTAAAGTTCAGCTGATTGATGATTCAACTGGCCAATTTCAAGTTCAACTTACTTTCCATTTAGTTTTATAGAAATTCTTCTTCAATTGTTCACTGACTGATCCATGAATATTCTTGTCAGAAGCTGCATTTCCACTGATCCTGGAACAATGAAGAAAAAAATTATCAGGGTTAATATTGGCTATTATTAGCTGTTGAGATGGCTGCAAGGTATTACAAATTAAACCGTTTAACGACTAAGCGTTAATCAGATTAAAATAAACAAAAGATTCTTAAAATTTCACCATAAAAAGTAACTTTGCATTGACAAATATTCATTAAGTTACTTGACCATCGACCTTATAGCTTCATCTAGAAGTTTCAAATTCAATCAAGTTTAGTGAAAAATTGTGTTTGCCATTCAAGTCTATTAGCTAGTTGATTAACTGGTTCATCATTGTTTTACCAAAATGTTTACACATTCAGTTGTTTCAATTGTTTTATCGTTTTATTGTGTTCAATTCACCTTGGCCCATGAAAATGTGACCCAACTGGTTTGTTCAGAGGAAACTGAAAAAGTAGACAACTTTTATTGCCGCAGTTTATCATGTAAATATTCTGAATACAATGTTACGACTGCAATGAGAATTTTTTGTGACAAAGACGTCGATCATCCATATTTACCAGTTTTGAAGGAAGAGACTAAAATAAGGACTCCAAATGAACTCATCAGATACATCATCAGGAGGATAACCAAGAGAAAAATGCTCAACTACATGATCAATGCTTTTCTCAGCTTCATATTCTCAAGGCTTGTAAGGTTAATTTTGGGTGGAATGAGTCCAGCTGAATTGATAACTTCACTATTCTCAAATTAATTATATTCAAATATTCTGTAAATCTATCAATAAACTTTTATTTTTTCATCAAAAAGTTGTAAAAATTTTTCACTTTTATTCATAAAATGACCCAAAAACGAGCCAAGATTTTAACCCGAAACCATATATCAAACCACTCTAGCTCTATTTTTTAGACTCGCATTGTAATAGTCAATGCCGATTGTCTTGAAATGATTCATCTAAACCCATTCGAAGAAAAATTGCTACAATGAACAATTGCTCATTGAACTACGCATTTATCAAAAACGCCAGAGTCATGCGTTTTTTGCGTTCAACGCAATGATTTTATTTATCAATGTCTGCTTGAACAATTGAGTTCATAAAATCTTACATTTTTAATGTAAACTTCCAGCTCAGTAGTTTAAAGGGATAGGCTAATTAGAAAGAGGTGTATAAGGGTTCGAGTCTAGGTCTGAGGATTTTATGTTTCTAGAAAAGTTAGGAGAGTGCTTCAAATTTATTAACGCAAAATTCGCGCTAAATCTGAGACTTTTATTGACTGCCCATTTCGAAGCGTGTATGCCGCCTTCGACTTGGAAGCCTGCAAAATCTGGCCGAATTTTCGATACACAGTAAACTTTCATTCTTCTAATTCGCGTTTTAATCGTTCAGATTATAGCCTTTAGATTGCACATCGAAAGTGAATCAGGATTTTCATTTGATTTAAACTTTCTGCTTCTCTTTTCCCTCTCTTCACTTTCAACACAATCCACATCTTTTAGAGTCTAATTAGCTTAATTATTTGACGAGTAAATGGGGAAGGAAATGGAAATGAAAGGATGATTGGATGAATCAAGAAAACTATTAGGTTTATCAAGGGTAAAAAGTAATTCCCATAATAAATTCATAAATGATGAACATGGTGAAAGTTACTTTGCTTTGCCAGAATTATTAATATACTTAAACTTGAAATGATTGTTACATTGGATAATAATAATCTAAAAATAATCTCAGCTCATTTAAGCCCAAATTTCTCTGCTTTTCTTGTTTGCTTACTGTGTTACTGTGAGAATGGTTAACTTCAACTTTCGATCGATAAATCGAGGTAAACTTGAACACAAGATTCACAGTGAAAAATCAACTTTTATTTTTTCTCCTTCTTTTACTTTCTTTAAAAAGTGGTCCAATTTATGCGAGCAACACAAATTTTACAGGTTCAATGTAAATTGTGAGGAAAGCTTTCAGAGACAATTAATCTTGCTTAAATTATTTCCAATTGAACATTCTAATTATTATTCATTGTTGCTGTTACCAATGAATAAGTCAATCAGTTATTTGCATTGAAAGAGATTACAATCAGATTGCAATCATTCAAATGATAAAGATTATTTTCAATTGTATAACTGTTCTCATTGAAAATGACAATCTTGTTGACGTAAATAGCATTGAGAAAAGCCATTATTCCAATGAGTATAAAGGCACATTAATTCATGATCTAGACTGAAATCAACTCAGATTGCCATCTTTTTTGCTCTCGAATCAAACAAATGGTTCACTTATTGATCTTTACTTCATTCAATTAACTAATTATTCAATAAATTAATAGTAAAAGTGACATTGAGAGTGCTAAATGAAATAACCAAAACATTACTTGGAATAACCATGAACCGTAATTATCGAATGGAGATAATTGCATGCAAGAATTTCATTTTTATACATTTCATGATAGCTTTTCATTTAATCTGATAATCGTTACAAAAACGAAATCCATTGGAATTGCAGGGAAAAAAGGTTTCAAATTGATATCAATCGAGACTGTCCAATGAACACTGAATTTTCCTAATAAAAGTTGATTCAATTTTTACATCGTTCTCGGTCAATTATTGGAATCGTTTCAAGTTGATTGAGAAAAATAACAATCAATATCTGATTACATCTAATGTCACCGAGAATGTCAATGTTTTCATTCTTGATCTTAACAATTTAATAGCAACTAAACTTTGACAGATTTTAAAAATTTTGTTGCAATCATGATCATGAAAAATGAAAGTTTTGTACGTTTTTCACATAATGTTGATTCCAATGTTCAGAGGTTTCCATGGCTACTTGTAAAGAAAGGGATAGTTCTGCATTGAAATTTTGATGAATATACTTGTAAAGGAAAATTAATTTTCAATTGAAATGGCGAAACGATGAGCCATTGATTGTAATGAAAGTAAATTAGTATTTTATGTACAAAATTATCGACAAATGTAACCTTTTCAATCAATGAATGAAAAATTGAGTACAATTGCAACTTTTTGCTTTCCTTTTTTTTCTTTCTCGTCCTTTTCAGAATTTTTCAGAGAAACTATTTTTTTTGCTAAATGAAATTAACAGTTGAATGGTTCATCATTGATAAAAGAGTTGCATTCACTTGGTTAGCATTGGTGAAGAGAATAGGTTTTCATTGAAATTTATCCTTTTACAGATCAAATTAAATTCAATTTGACTAGGAAGAGATGACAAAGTATATGTGCTCAGGTATGTGTTAGTTATTATTATCATTATTCTTATTCCACAACAAAAGCGATTTTCTTTCATTTCTGTGAAGAAGCAGAATCGACAAAAAAATGTTATACATTGAACAATTGATCAACAGAAGTGAAAGAAAACATTGAATTTCATTCATTTATCCTTCAGTTAACGATAACTTTTCCTCAATGAAAATTGAATAATATGTTTGATTGTAAATTGGTAAATGTTTATCACTTTAAAGTTAGATAACACTTTGTAACATTTTTGCTTAATAATCTCTAAAGTCTCAAGAATTGAAATGATCAATAGCGATTTCTAATTTCATGGTTAAAACGATCGCACTTTTTCATGCAAAAAATTAGTTTCATTCAAAAAAATTCATCTTCAGGTAATGAATAAACTTTGATTTACTCGAAATCATTTCTTGTTTCAATGTCGCTCCAATGAATTTAAGACAAAATTTTGCAAATTTGTTCAAACTTTCAATGAACTTTGTAAAGACTAAATCAAGTTTTACTGTAAATTAAAACAAAGTTTCCAGACTGAATCTGAGGTTTCATTCAAATGCAAATTCAATTGAACTTGGAAACAGTTTATACATTAACTTGTTTATAATCAATTGATAGTTAAATGACAATTTGATTGACTATAATTAGAGTCAATCTGAAATTTGAAACTTCGAAAAATTAAACTTCTATTTTACTTCGTTCAAACAATTCACACATTGTTACTTGGAATGCTTAGAAAATTTGAAGAAAATTATAACTTGAAATGCAATTATTTTGATTTTCGGAAAAGCGTTTCTTCCAATTACAGGGAAAATTGATTTGCAATGATTGATTAAACGATAATTGCAACTGTTAATGGTTCATTGAACAATGAAAAGGTGGAAATAAAATAATTGCTAAAAATATCTATAATTTTCATTTCATTCAAGATTGAATTTCCATTTTTCAATGTAAAACAATTTGATTAATGCACAATTGAATGGTTTGTTTGACAGAGTTCATTATTCATAAAGCAAATGTTTACATGATTCTTACTCTATTAACTTGTTTACTGGAATGGATTGATTAGAACTGTTTAGTAAACTTGACTGAACATTTAATCAACACTCAATGTTCACCAATTATAATAATCTTTACCATCATTTCCACCATGCATCTTCCCCTGTAAACCTTTTGGTAAAATCAATCAAACTGTGCAATTCTTAATGATACCTTGTGAATCATTGTTTTTCATCTTTCAATCAAACTCTTGGTTGAACACCTTGCGTGATGCCTGAAAATGGAAAATCAATTCACAATTTCCATCAGATGAATTCATTTCTTGTGTGGGTCAGTAAATAATAAACACATTACATGATTATCATTTCAATGGTTATCTCAATCTATTTTCAGAAGTCAAACAAAATCTAAATAAATCCATGTTCATGATGGAATCAAATAGCAAATGGTGATCATCAACTTTTCTCAATTTCATTTCAATCATCCAATAACTGTCACAAGTTGTTTTGGCCAATCCAAGACTGAATAACATTTCTTATTGGAATAGAGAAAAATCTTTTTTTTCAGTTCTCTTTAAAAATTTGATATTCACTGTTTCAGACAGATTCATTATCCTTTCCATGTTATCGTCTTATTACAAGTGAATTATTTTGAACAAAAAAATGAACAAAACTCAAAATAAAGTATGACACTTCAACATTTGAAACAAAAAAAATGAAATGAAAAATCGAGCAACAGAACGCCTTCAATTGTTATTTTAAAATTTAAATTGACCAATTTCATCAACTATCACTTGCAA